TCTCTCTCTCTCTCTCTCTCTCTCTCTCTCTCTCTCTCTCACACACACACACACACACACACACACACACACACACAAAGTTGGTGTCCAGCAGCACCTTTAAGAACAGCAAAGATTTATCCAAGGTATGAGCTTCCGTGTGCAAGGCACCCCTTTTTCAAATACAACGGGACTGAAGATAGGGTTCAGATGTATAGACAGCAAATTAACATGGAGCATCAAGAAGAAGATGTTCTGAGATATGCAAAGCGAGAACAAAATAACAAGCCAAGATAATAAGGACAACGGTTGTAAAGCAATAAAACTGTCACAATGAGTCTGAGACTCTCCATTCACTCCTCTCCGTGCTTATCTTAAACCATCTTCATCATGTTCCGTGTTAATCTGTTCAGCCCACCTGTAAGGTATTGAACCTTAACACCTATTCCATTGTATTTGGAAAAGGGTGCCACGCACCTTGAATAAAGGAGCCACTGGACTATAAATTTGTTAAACTGCTCTCTCTCTCTCTCTCTCTCTCTCTCTCTCTCTCTCTCTCTCTCTCTGCAATATACTGGGTTCGACATGCAAGTAGTGATCAGCTCATAGTTTATTGTGAATCAGCTCTTAACTACTGGACAACTCAAGCAGGGCTGAAGCCCTGCTTGCTTAATAATCCCGTCAAACGGCATACCCCAAACACACCCACTCCCAACAATAGGCTATTTACACACTAATCGCATCCTGATAGGGGGCTGCCAGTATCCTGCTGGTCTATCGTGTTCCCCCCCCCAAGCTCACCTTCTGTCTGGCAGCCCTGGGTGGCAGGGAAACTGTGTCAGTACCTAACACTATCTCTATATAATGTACTGAGTCCAAACATAAGAGACGCCAATGTTGGATCAGGCCAAAGGCCCATCCAGTCCAACACTCTGTGTCACACAGTGGCCAGAAATACCAGGTGCCATCAGGAGGTCCACCAGTGGAGCCAGGACATTAGAAGCCCTCCCACTGTTGACCCCCCCCCCCCAAGCACCAAGAAGACAGAGCATCCCTTGCCCCAGAGCCCCTCTCTATACCTTGTGGCTAATAGCCACTGATGGACCTCTGCTCCATATGCTTATCTAATTCCCTTTTGAAGCCATCCATGCTTGTAGCCGCCGCCACCTCCTGTGGCAGTGAATTCCATGTGTGAATCACTCTTTGGGTGAAGAAGTACTTCCTTTTGTCCGTTCTAACCCGACCGCTCAGCAATTTCATGGAGTGCCCACGAATTCTTGTATTGTGAGAAAGGGAGAAAAGTACCTCTTTCTATACCTGCTCTATCCCCCGCATAATCTTATAAAATCATGTCACCCCTCAGTCGTCCTTTCTCCAAGCTAAAGAGCCCTAAGCGCTTTAACCTTTCCTCATAGGGAAAGTGTTCCGACCCTTTTATCATTCGATTTGCCCTTTTCTGCACTTTTTCCAAAGCTAAATATCCTTTTGAAGGTGTGGTGACCAGAACTGCACACAGTATTCCAAATGAGGTCCCACCATTGATTTATATAGGGGTATTATGATATTAGCTGATCTGTTTTCAATACCCTTCCTAATAATCCCCAGCATAGCATTGGCCTTCTTTATTGCAGTCACACACTGTCTCAACATTTTCAGGGAGTTATCTACTACGACTCCAAGATCTCTCTCTTGTTCAGTCTCTGCCAGTTCAGACCCCCATCAATGTGTATTTATAGTTAGGATTTTTGGCTCCAATGTGCATCACCTTGTACTTGGCCACATTGAACCCCATTTGCCATGTTGACGCCCACTTGTTGATCATTGAAACAGCTCATCGTTTATTTCAGCTCGGGAAAACAAGACAAGGGAAGCCGGAGCGGAGGCCTGCTTATATCCCCATAGTGAATCACACCCAAACACACACACACACCCGTGACAGGATTATTTACAGTGCACATGCATTCTATAGGTCCCTCTAGGATCCTGACTGCCCGACTGGATGTGTTCCAGGATCCATGCTGGATATTGTCTTGGAGAGCGAAGCTTAAGCCGTTCGCATGGCTGTGAGAGGACCCGACCACATGTGCGGTCTATGTAAGAACACAACACTCTCTCTGTTGGGCCAGACTGCATATGTTCCCCCCCCCCCCCGTCTGAGGGGGAAGTCACCTCCTCCCCATCAGTGCGCAGGTCTGCTGGGCTTCCACTTTTGCTTCAGCTGCCAAAGGCCCCTCCCACCTTCCCTCTAAGCTGAGTTAGTGTGTGCTAGCTCACAGTTTTTTAGCCTCCGCCTCACAGATTCTTGTCTCGGCTCAGAGTGGGGAATCAAACCCGGTTCTCCCAGATTAGAGTCCACGCACTTAACCACTACGCCAAACTGGCTTAAGATCCAACCAGTACCTTCCCTTAATTTAAACCCATTATTATTGTGAGTCCTACCCTCTGCTGCCTGGGATTAGAAAAAGAAGAGATTGGATTGATACCCCGCCCTTCACTTGGAGTCTCAGAGTGGCTTACAAACTCCTTTCCCTTCCCCTCCCCACAACAGACACCCTGTGAGGTGGGTGGGGCTGAGAGAACTCTGACACAAATGGCTCTTTTTCAAGGACAGCTGTGCCAGAGCTTGTGACTGACCCAAGGTCACATCAGCAGGTGTAAGTGGAGGAGTGGGGACTCAAACCCGGTTCTCCCAGATTAGAGTCCGCACACTTAACCACTACAACAAACTGTGCTGGGGAGAGGAGAGTTGGGAGGTGTGCTGAAGGCAGATTACACACAGAGAGTCAGTACAGTCACCAAAAACAGGACGTTCACACTGCTCTCCCTCTACCAATGAAAGGATACCACAAACTGCAGGTAGGTGGGGGAGCAGTGTGATGCTGTACTGTACAATAAACTAGAGACCCAGTTTGGTGTAGTGGTTAGGAGGAGGAGGAGGAGATTGGATTTATACAGTGTGATGCTGTAAAGGTAAAGGTTCCCTTGCTCGAAAGCCAGTCGAATCCGACTCTAGGGTTGCGGTGCTCATCTCCGTTTCCAAGCCGAAGAGCCAGCGCTGTCCGAAGACGTTTCCATGGTCATGTGGCCGGGATGACTAAACACCAAGGTGCACAGAACGCTGTACTGTACAATAAACTAGAGACCCAGTTTGGTGTAGGTTAGGAGGAGGAGGAGGAGGAGGAGGAGCTTGGATTTATACCCCACCCTTCACTTGGAGTCTCAGAGCGGCTTACAAACTCCTTTCCCTTCCCCTCCCCACAACAGACACCCTGTGAGGTGGGTGGGGCTGAGAGAGCTCTGACACAAACTGCTCTTTTTCAAGGACAGCTGTGCCAGAGCTTGTGACTGACCCAAGGTCACGTCAGCAGGT